TTATATCTAGCAGGACCAACTTTGGGGCTTTTAACTTAAAAAAACAAAAAGCAACAGAACTGTGCAAATACTTCTGACAAAATTCCTCTCGAAAGACACGTCCACTTTAAAACAGGAACATGACAAGGAGTTCACGTTATTTGTTAGATCTAGAGTTAAATATCATGTCTGGGAATGTTAATCAAGAGACCCAAATAGGAAAACCTTGCAAAAAATTCCATTTTAGCATTTTCTAAAAACAAAATAAAGACACTTAATAAGGAATAAGGTACATTTCATAGATGTTAAATTTTGTAAGATGCACACAGTATCCGGTTCTACCAACCAAAGGACCAACTCTCCCCATGCTGTAGAGAAGAGCACAGGTGATGAGCACTTGGTATCCTCAGGGAGTCTTACATGAAGAACTTGGGGGGGGGGTGTTAAACACCAGGGTAAGTTATTTAGAGCAGCTGTGAGATCTCGCGAGCTTTAATAATAGGATAGACCATGTGCTCTGGAATGGTTTTAAAGTAACTCAAACTCAGGTACCAAGAACTATGTCTCCATCCAACGATACTAACGAGAACCTAACATAACTACTTACAAAAGAGAAAACTGGAGAATATTTAAAAGGTGGCTTTCTATGCAGTTGTATGTGTTTGCTAGATATCTGGGTCTTTCTTATCTGCATTCTCTCTCACTTCTACTGAACTAGAAGTTAATGGCTTGTCCTTTCCAAATTTTAATTCTTAAACCAAATCCTAATTATAGCAGGGCCCCAAATTATTAAACTGATTTACCTAAGTAGCTACATGACCTTGAGAAGTGACTTCTTGTAAACTGAGAGGCTTGGACAAGGACCCACTGAATGCAAACTGCACGTTCTCTTTACCACTCTACACTGGTCTGGGACCCGGAGGCATTAGGACAGAACCATTTCTATCTCCTAAACAGAAATATAAAATAAACTTAATCAATTAGATTTTAATCTGTTTTCCTAAACATTCTTAAGAAAATGCAAACTAAAACTGAAATTTCCTATGCAGCAAATAAAAATTTATGTAATTTAAAATAAGGAACTCAGTTTTGAGAAATAAGAGAATAAATTATACAATAGCTGACAATCTTCACCCTATTTTTTACTCTTCCTTTTCCCCATAACCCTGTCCCATTCCTTATTCCTTTAAAAAAGAGGCAGCTAGTAGGGAGAAAGAGAAGATTTGAAGCCAGAGGGCTTGAGCTCTAGCCCCGCCTATTCTATTAACCGACTCAGGAGACAAGCAACTTCCGCTTCGGGGCCTGAAAGGCTGATTGGTAAAACAAGGGAGCTGAACTAATTATTAATTTCTAAAGCCCTCTGCTTGAAAATAATGTATGGTCCTCCTTTCATCCTACCCGTTATTCTATTCCTAATGCCTTAATTTGACGCTCACTACATCATTCCTAGAGTTGCACAGTAGCTTCACAATTTCTCTTTCCCACTTTACTTTTTCTTTTTATCCATACTACTACCAAATGAATTGAATCCTAAAACCATGTGAGCAGAATGAAAAGCACACGGGCTTTGAAGTCAGAGAGACTCAGGTTCAAATTCAGGCTCTGCTGCTAACTACGTAATCATATCCCTAAAAGGGAGATATTAGCTTTATCACCCAGGATTAAATAACGGAATAAAGCACCTAACACAGGGCCTGACACGCTGTAGATGCTCAGTAATAATTAGAATCTGTCCCTGTTTCCCAAGATCAAAAGCCTATTTCTCACTGTCTGTATCAGCCATGACCAACAAGCCACACAGGTAGCAGACATGAAGATTTTTAAACCAGAGAGGCAAACTTTGGAGTCAATGTTCTCACCAGGCTCCTGTGTGTCAGGAAAGTGTCAGCCTGCCAACTTCTGCCAATGTTTCACAGTTACAGTAGCGTCAGGCCCCTGCCCTCATGAACTCTCAAAAGTAAACTGCACAACCTGCCCTAGTCCAAAGCCACAGGTCAAAGAGTAAGAAGGACTTGACACTTGCTTCAAAAAGACATACGTGCTCTAGATTTTAGCTGAAATCAAATTCCTGGGCCTGGCATTCACGTAAGAAGCACCTCCCAATTCTTCATGCTTACATGTACAGGCAGGAAGCTAAGGTTAATGCACCAAACATTATAATTTAAATTGATCTTTCAATCACAGGAAATTAAAAGGTGTGACAAAAGAAAAAAAAGGAAAAAATTTCTCACATAATGAGGATATGCTGAGCTTTGCAGAATTATACAAACACCATCAAAAAAAGCAATGGCTTTCTTCTTGATTTCAAAACTGGGACAAAACTGGAAGGAACAAGGGGAGGAGTGATGGGAACTGGCCAGGAGAAGCTCATTTCTTAAAGTGACTTATGAACAGTTATTTAATTAAATTCCCAAACGAGCAACAATAACAATCTTTACTTCCATAACACTAATCAATGATGACAGCTGAGTTACTGGTAACAGGGCAATCTAGCAAGTGTGTCAAAGTCTGGAAACCAAAGAAATCTTACGCAGAAACCGATTTTTTCTAAAGTGCCACATTCTTTCCCAAGCTACTTTAGCCCAAGCAACTGCTGCAAAAGCATACAATTAAAAGGATGTAACATTAATCAGGAAAACTTCTTTCAGAAGGCTCAACTTTCCTAAAAATTATTCAAATCCATATATGCATCTAAAAACACAATCTCACTTCTCTGAGTTGCATGCTCTTCTGGGTTCAGACCAAGCTTCTCTACTGACCCCTGAAATGCACTATCCAATGAATATGACCAAAATTCCTGCCTTGAGCTGCCATTTCCCAGCAAAATAATTGTTCACTAGCACTGTTACTTCTGGTTGATCTTTTTTCTTTATTGTAGGAAAGGTCAATTTTCTTCCCCCTTGTTTGGTGCTCACATCCCAAACTAAACAGGCCTAGCTTTCTCCACTAGTCTTCAGATCTCCCATCAAAGCCATGAGCCTCAACAAACTTTCCCTCCACTCCCATGTATTCCCCACCCCTTCCCTAGCCCTCTGCACAGCACCCTCAGAATGACCTCTATCTCTTCCCACGTCTAGTTTTCCTCATTTCTGACTTATCTATGACTAATACCCCCACCCTAATCCTCACCCCTGCCTTCTCTCTGTCCAGTCTCCACCTGACAGTTACTAAAAAGTCCAGTCCTCCCACCCCAGACCTTACTGCAGCTGAGCTCTCCATTGATCTTCCCTTTAGATCAATTCCTGGTCCCTGCCCAGTCGCTCTTCATTTTAGACCCTACTCAATGCCCCCACTTTCTGAACCTTGGCTAAAACCCAACTCTCATTCTGAACAGCCCTGGGATCCCAGTAAAGACCACTACTCTAGCTGGCCCATCCAGTTCAATCCTCTACTGAAATCTGGTGCAGAGAGATCTCTGACATACTCCAGTTCACTAGCAGCCCATTTCTGACCCCGATACACGTGTGCTCTCCAACATAGCTCCAGGCTAACGTGTCTGTCTTCCCCGTCTCCGCTGCTAGCACTGGACCCTCCTCTCGCTCCCAGGTCCTGGACAGAGTCTTCGTGCTTCACCAGATGCCTAAAGGACCCCTCCTCGCCCTGACCCGACACCCTGCTCTGTATCCCCAACTTCCATTCGGACTCTTGCCCTAAGGGTTCCTTTCCCCGCTTAACCTAAGTCCCCGAGATGCTCCATTCTCTCCCCACGCCCCCGCCCCCACTCTCCACCCCGCCGCGGAACACACTCTCTCCAATGCAAGCCCAGTGGGGTGTGTCCCCAGTGGCCCCTCCTGCGGGGGTCAGCCGTCGCCCCTCCTCACCTCCGCGTCCACCACCTCGTGGTAAGCGGGCGGGGGGTCGAAGCCACCCCCGCCTCCGGTGCTCCCGCCGCGGGAGGGGCCGCCGCCGCCGTCACCGCCAACGTCGCCCCGCGGGCCCCCGCCAGGCCCGGGGCCGGGGCCGCCGCCGCTGTCCATGGGCTCGTAGCCGCCGTAGTCGAGGCCCGGCCGCTCGTTGGTGAGCAGCGCCACGGCCTCGTTGATGTCGTTCTTGGCCAGGCGCAGGGCCTTGCGGATGGTGGCGGGGTCCGAGAAGCCCATGCACAGCAGCGTGGTCATGTGCTGCTCCTCCTCCGATTCCATGGCTCGGGCCTCCCGGCAGCGCCGACCGGCGAGCGGCGCGGCTGCGGGTCCCGGGCCTGGCGGGCGCCCGGG